GCAAGCCTGGGAGGTGGGAGAAGTGAAGCAACGACGGCGTGCTCGGGGAGGAGGCGGGGCAGGGGTGAGCTGGGGTGGGGAGTTCCCCTGCGTGCCGCTCCCCCACCCTTGCTGCAGGCAGCCCTCCCCGCGCTCCACTGCCCCAGCTCCCTCCGCCTAAATGCTGGCGGCGACCGGGGCGGCCGAAGATCCAGCCGCCGCGGTCGCTGCCGAAGAAAATGGTGCCCCCCAAATCCTAGCGCCCTAGGCGACCGCCTAAGTCGCCTAAATGGTTGCACCGGCCCTAACACTGAGTATCATTGAGTTCCTGTAGGACAAGATGATTTTAATGGGCTGGAACTGTGGGGGGGCATGCTTTTACCATTAAATGCCCACCAGTGTTCCCAGCCACAAAGTGGGCCTCTAGTATACAGTATGCATCTCCCACCAGAACAGCTTCAATGGACCATGGTCCTTTCTGTATGGTTTGGAACACCCTTAATAAATACATCATTTGTAGTTTTACATTGTTTTAAAGCAAGGTATTTCCCAATGTTTGGATTTATTTAAACTTTTAATTTTTTCTTCTGAGACCCCTCTTGGCTGCGAGAGTAAGGGAATATGTTTGGCCAAATGCAGAGAGGCAAATTAGATCTTAGTACTCAGCAGTCCAGAATAAGGCCCAGATCAAGTAACTGTCTCCACACAGGTTCACAGAGGGCACCGGGAAGGCTGATTGCACTTGTACAGCAGAAAGCAGTTGTGACAGGCAGGCAGCTAAAGGCAGAGGAACCAAGAAGGGAAAAGAGAACAACCTAACATAGTCCAGGATTGCCATAGCCCTCCCGTATAGGAAACACCTATATTTTTATTATATCAGAGACTATATTACAAAAATACTGTCAGCGCTGAAAATATATTTTAAATATTAGGTAAGTGGAAACTTTTTATAATATGCAAAATATATGGAATCACTTGTTTCTATAGCCCTATATTTTATAAAGCCTATTGATCCACAGACATATTGCTGATGTAGACATAGAGCTGATTGATACCTGTGCGATGCTGTGCTTGCACCACCGTCGAGGACACTCCTGTAACTCGTCCTGGCATATGCTTACACAGGTGCTGTGCTTGACTCATGTGAGTAGCCCCATTGAAGTCAGCAGGGCGATTCAAGTGAGGAAAGTTTTAGTGCAGGCAGGACTGGAGGCTTACTCTGCTTTTCTGGCTACCTCACACCAAACACCACCAATGAGTTTGTTCCTACAAAAGATGTAGGACATGGTAACTCCCACCAGTGTGCTGTGCCTTGCAACGGGGGTGAGATGCTGTGAGGGTAGCACAGTCCAGTTGTACTATGTCTCCTCCATCTAGCTATTATCTTGAAGAATAAGTATGTAGTAAATCAAAGGTGGAATAAATCGGAAATTATATCTTATTGCCTCTTCATTTTTCTTGCAATCCCAGTTTAGGTACAGAAGCTTAGATTTAATGCAAGGCCAATTTATTTACACAAAGTGCAACTACAAGTTTTCAATCTGAATTATTAATTTCATTTTACGAGAAAACAGCCAAATAAAAAAAGGAAAAAAGTGATTCAGAGTGACAGACAGTGTATATTTTCTGTAACATGCTGTATCAACTCTGCTCACAAAATGGCAGATGCAGCCTGTGGACTCCTATAATTTAAAGGTGTAGTACACAAACTAAGATTACTAGAGAGACAAGGTGGGCGAGGTAATATCTTTTATTGAACCAACTTCTGCTGGTGAGAGAGACAAGCTTACACAGCGCTCTCCTTCACTTCAGCCTCACCCATTTTGTCTCTAATATTCTGGGACCAATGCGGCTACAAGACTGCATACAAAAATAAGATTATTTATGAAAGTTGTCAGTTACATACATCCGAAGTGTGTATGTTTGTGGGAGGAGCGGGAGGTGTCACAAGGGCCCATAGACTGGGAAAAAACACTAAATCAAGCCAGTTCACGGAGAGGGGGTGCATTTTAGGCACTGTCTTATCATAATCTTAGACCAGTAGCTTTGATAACCACTGTAAGCACAGTACCTGAGGCCACACCACTATACCTAAGGCCAAATTAATTTCTTGGGTAACACCATTGAGTTAAGTAGAATTACATCAGTGATGAGTTTGGCCCCTGATGTTTTTCTTGGTATAAACTTTCAGAACTGCTATAGTAATGATGCAAGTTATCTTCTTGTTAGCTGGAGACAAAACTGTAGTGTGTTGATTTGTTAATCTGTGTACAGAGTCACTGCTGTACTAGCGTGTACTATTGTCCAGACTGTTCTAATGTTTATAAGTACCTTCTGCTAAGTTTGGCCTCGATTCAGCCACACACACAACTTTAAGCACCTAAGTGTGTCAGAGGTCCCATTGACTTCCACTGGGATCATTCATGATTGCGTGTTGCTGAATTGGGGCCTGAGTTAGTGGCAATGCTGCTTTAGCTTCTCTTTTGGGGAGCCAAAGGCCCTGGGTTCTGCTACTGCCATTAACCATGGATTCTGTATGTGTAGGGTGGCCACAGAACATCACGGCCCTAATTATGCTCCCACTGAAGTCAATGGTAAAACTGGCTTTGATTTTAGTGGTGCAGGATTGGGCCCTATGACAGCATGATAATGTTTCCACCCTGGGTTGATACTTCAGTTCCAATTATTGTTACTGATACCTACAATAGCAGGATTAGCACATCTGGCAGCTGTATCTTCACATATACTGTAGAAAGTATCGGAAGCCATTCCCCCTTATTGAACAGTTCTAGTTGTAAATTTAAATGGTGACAGAGTAACTTTCTTTAAGAAACCATGTATTGTCCATTGTATCTTGTATCTCATCACACAATTTATCTGGCAATGTCTCATCCATAGGCTGGTATGCATCGATGCACAGTAAGCCTTCTCTTTATGAACTGTGTGCAAAGCATGCGTGGATGAAAAAGAGCCAGTAACTGTGAGAGAATTTTATTCTGCTTGGAAATGTCTTTTGGTTTTAAATTCTCTATGAATGTTAGTTTGTAAACTTGCAAACCCTCCCATGATTCATAAATGGGGTTTGCAATATTTATGGCAAATACTTACTACTGCAGCTTATTAAATAAAACATACTGTGATAGTCTGATCTCATCCCATCATGAATCCTACTACCTGTATTTGGAAGGCAGTTACTGTGCTGGCTTCTCAGTTGCAATTAGAATATCCATCAGTGCTATCAGCTGTACACGTTTTCTCAAAATTGTGAATGTTTAAATAATGGCCAGATGATTTGTCTGACTTAATTCATTAGTTAATCTACATAACCGTGCCAGCAGTTTTAAAGCACATAACATGCATATTAGGCAACAAATCTATTGAAAATAAGAATATCAATAATGACGCAACAAATGTAATGTGTCTGCTACTTTTGATGTTAGTTTTCCTGTTACTTTGAAAGCATTGCAATGTTGTGAGTAATCATGAATAACGTGACCCATGATGATACTGATATCATAAGAGAAATGGCAATGTTCAAATGCTTTAAGCAGAATATTGGTATCCCTGGATTGTGACACATGCTGAACAACAAACCACCATTGTGTCAGCCTAAGAACTCTGTTGATGCGCGTGCAGCAGTGTAACTTTTTTCTTCATCATGGAAGTCCCATGATTGACTTAAGAAGTATGGGCAAATAATATAAATTGTGCTAACTGAAGCCATTTTACTGGAGCAGCAATGCATCGCTTCACAAATGCTATTATCCGATGGCAATTTGTATGACATTTTGTTGAACAGTTTTAAAGATTTTGAGTTTAATAATAAAAATAAAAGATGTACAGGAGGGTGTCTTTTTGTGTGCTCAGGTCTTGATGGGACATTGTCAGGTTAAAAATCCTGGACCAGATTTTTAAAAAAACAGGCCCCTGTTCCAAACACACATACCTGTGTATGTGCCAAATGGTACTGCTGAACTGGCACTGTGAGCATAACATTTACCTATATATGGGTTATGTGCATGTCTAACTTAGGGTTGCATCAATGTATGGGTG